ATAACGGGAGGACCGTGACCGTGTCTTTGCTTTTTAAACTTCTGTACTGCATCTCTTTGGCCCTAGATCATCATTCTTGATCACTCGATCACTTGACTTTTCATTGTTACTCATCGGTTTGCTCGAGCGGGGACCAGTAACGTCTTCATTCATCCCTGTCGCGTGCTAGTGTAGCCCAATGGTGTCTGTTAGTTCTAGGAACATGAAGAGCCTCAAACCGATCGTTCAGGGTCTTGATGAAGAAGTCTAACCATCTTGTAGGTGGACAGCCACGCAGTCTTTTGATGTCCCATGGAATCCAGTCAGTAACGGCTCTAGTCCAGCGGTCGTCTCCAAATCTCATTAAGTCTGATTTTTGACGCCTTGGCAAACAAGAAAGCGTCCCTGATTCTTGATCGTTCACGGAGGTCGAAACTCCGGATTCTTTCTCTCATTTGAGTGAAACGTGATACTCCAAGTATGGCTTTCGATTCCTCTTTGGGAGACCCAAATAGCATTCTCATCCTGTTTTCGTAGGGCCCAGGTCTCTGAGGCATATGTTAATGCAGGAAGAACAGTGGAATCAAAGAGATGTGCCCGGAGCAGGAGGTTCTTCGTCCTCTTAGCTATTTCTTCGACGTTCTTGAAGGCATTCCAAGCCGCTCTCTTCCTCCTGCGCAGCTTGGGTGCCAGGTCATTTGTCATGTTGACTTCTTGACCTAGGTACACATAGCTGTTGCATTCAGAGATGGTCGTTTTGTTGAGAGCGAATGGGGCATCAGGAACGAGGCTGTTTCTCATAAACATTGTCTTCGTAAGATTCAGCTGTAGTCCTACCTTTCCACACTCACGGTCAAAGTCGGCCAGCATTTGTGCCGCTTGGCGGATGTTTGGTGTTATTAGAAACAATGTCATCAGCAAAGCGGAGGTGGTGTAGTTGCCGACCATCTATCTTCACTCCCATTCCTTCCCATTCCAGTCGTCGCATGATGTTCTCGAGGGTGGCACTGAAGAGTTTCGGTGAAATGGTATCACCCTGCTGCACCCCTCTCTTGACGTCAACGATCACTTCTTTGTAGAATGGTGAGATCCTGGTAGTGAATCCGCAATACAGCTCACGGAGGATCCTGATGTGTTGGGCTTGAATGCCCTGATTGGCTAGGGCTTCAATGACCGCTTCCGTCTCAACAGAATCAAAGGCCTTCTTTAAATCAATGAACGTTAAACAGAGTGGCATCTTGAACTCCCGAGAAACCTCAATGAGCTTGGTTATCGTGTGGATATGGTCGATGGTGCTGAATCCTTTGCGGAACCCAGCTTGCTCGCATGGTTGTGCTTCATCTAGTGTTCTGCCAATCCTATTCAGGATGACTCGAGTGAATAGCTTGTAGATGACAGACAATAGGCAGATTGGGCGATAGTTGCCAATGTTGTGGATATCTCCCTTCTTGTACAGTAGTACAATCCTGCTGGTTTTCCATTGGGACAGAACCTTGCATTCAGACAGGTAGCGTGTGAAGAGCCGAGCCAGTGTATTGATGAGTAGTGACGGCAGGTTCTTCAGGTGTTCAGGTCTGACCCTGTCTGCTGGTTGCTGTTCGTTTCTTTACAGACAAAATGGTGTGTCGGATTTCGGAAGGGAGAACATTGAGAACGACATATCCTGCAGAATTTGGGATGTGAGCAGGTGGACGGGCTATCAAAGAGATCTGAGTGGAAGTCAGGGATAATCTTCTCCATTGCCCTTCTGGAAGATGTGATAGATCCATAAGGACGTCAGAGGGCAGTCATCTTGGTCCTGTAGTTGGCAAAGGACAGGTGGGCGTTGCGAATGCTTTCCCCAGCTTCTGCTGCATCTAATCGCACTGCTGCTCTTCTCTCTGAGGTCTTCCTTTATCACATCTCTGTACTCCACTATCTCACCTCCACTACCCAGCCGCTGCCACTCTCCAGGACACTTTCCGGACGCTCGGGCTGAGACTCACGCATGAGTGAAGGCCCACAGAACAAGATAAGTGGAACTCTGAGACCTTGGACTCCAGGCTCAATGGACCCGGGACAGAGATCCTCTGCCTGCTCCCACCAACCACATGTGACGAAGGAATTAAAACCTGGAGCCCCACCCTACCCTGCCCTGCCTGCTTCCACCAACCGCCTGAGACCCAGGGATTGCATTATGCACAGAAGACCCACCCTATGGGTACCAGATAAATCATCATTCTTACTGTTGTATATTTAAACTTTACAGAGATCCTCTCAAATCTTGAAACAAGATATGGGAGTATGAGAGTATTGCTTTCTCTTAAGATCTTGGGATGGCTGAGTGGGTAATACACAGTTCTGAAATAATGAGCATGGGGCTCTAGTATTCTTTTTCATTTGTATATGGCATTATACTTGGTCTCATTTTTCATGAAAAGTGACCCTCTAGTGTTTCTTAACCTGAGGGTCTTACACTCCAAACTTGGGGATAGGGGAGAGATCATTTGTGAACCTAAAGGGGGAGAAAAACTATTTTACTAACCTCTAACAAGCATTATTTTTTAAATTTATTTGAAGCGGGGCGGGGGGGGCACCCATGAAGGGGATCAGGAACTACTCTTCCTCTGTGCTCAGGAATGAGCCCTGGTGGTACCTATGGGACCATAAGCAGTGCTGAGAACTGAACTGGGGATTGGGGGTGCTCCATGCAAGGTAAGTGCCTTAAGTACTAGGCAAGTACTATCTCTGGCTCATTTCTTGTTCTTTTTTTCTTTTTTGTGTTTGGGCTATACTTGGGTTTACTTAGTGCTTACTCCTGGCTATTTGCTCAGGAATTACTCCTGGAAGGATCAGGGGACCATACGAGGTGCTGGGGATCAAATCTGGGTTAGCAGCATGCAAAGCAAATGCCCTACCTGCTGTACTACTGTTCTATCCCCTCTCTGGTCTATTTCTTTCCATTGTGAATGGAAGCTGCAATCTACAGTATTATCAGAAGCATCTGCAATTTTGTCACCCACTGAAATACCATATTTTCAATTTATATTATGGTTATTATAGCTATTGTCTCCCCAATTTTAAAAATTAATACCTCTAAATTTCCAAGAGTCACGAGACCTGCTGTATAGAACACCTGTCTGTAGTTTTCCTATACAGAGGTATTTGAGAATACCAGATTATTTTGCATCTGGTAGTTATCCAGGACCAAAAGGTAAGGTTTTGTTGGATAATATTTGAAAGAAACAGCAATTTTACTATTTATTAAAGTTTTATAATTTACAAGTTCAGATGAGAATTCTTACCTGTACAAAATGGATATTGCGTTTGTAACAAAGATTGGTATATAGATGACTTTAACACTACTGATGTCATAGCAAGTGCCTTGAGTCACACAAGGCAGTGCTGAGGTCTACTTCCTGTCTGTATTTAGCTGTACATGTGGGACCGCATAGTGGATGGAATGTGGCCTTTCACTTGCAAAGCATACTTGCACAGCAGACATCCAGGACATTAAGCTGTTTCTCTGGACCTGACCTAAAGTCATCAAAATTCTTCCTGACGTAGTTTTTTTTTTTTCCGCTATGCAGTTTTAAGTTCCGTATTAGTGCTTCTTTTATTTGTTCTTTTTGTGGTGGTAACAATTTGATTTATAAAAAAACACTGTGAGAAAAGTTTCTATATTTAGATTGTTACAGTACAAAAACAGATAAAAACATTTGCTCTAATCAATTAACTATGGAAAAAAACCCGTGTATATGGTTTTGTTTGTATGTAAGTATGCACATCTTTGGGAGAAGAATCACAGCTTTTATCACATTTCCACAAATTTCTAACTTTTTAAAAAGTGGGTTTTTGGGGTTTGTTTTTGGTTTTTGGGCCACACCCGATGGTACCCTGGGGTTGGCTAGCCCCGGCTCTGCATTCAGGGATCACTTCTTGTGGTTGCTTGGGGGACCATATAAGGTGCTGGGGATCGTACCTGGGTCTAGTGCATGTAGGGCAAACGCCCTACCCACTGCATTATGTCTCCAGTCCCAGCAAAACTGTTTTGAATCAAACAGTTCTATACTAAGGTACTGTTGTTTTAATTTTTCAAAATAATAAAGGACTTCTCCAAGATGTACAGAGGAGAATATCTACTCCTTTGAGGCCGCCCTCTTGGGGTCAGAATCTTTTTGAAGAGGGCTTTTACTGCCTCTAAAAGGAAGTCAGAATCATTACAATAGAGAAGGTTAAACTGATATACAGTACATGTGTCATGAACTTGCCTCAAACACTGGCCAAGCCCTGTTTAACCCCTACAACTGTGTATGGCTCCCCAAGCAGAACAGGGAGTAGTTTCTAAACATTATTGGTATTGCCCAAAATCCTCCTAAAAAAATCAATCCTAACCCTCTCCTCCAAAAGACCTCAAGAAAACCAATGAAGGAAAAATAAAGGTTTTAGATGAAGACAGATATAGAAGAATCAACATAAACAGCAGTTCATAAATATTTTGCACCAAATAGCAACTATTTCAAAATTTGGAAATACAAATGTCCCACTAGGAACACTATGGCCTAAAAATTCAATGATAAGAAATAATCTGATTTTTATGAGTCAAAAATACATGGGGGTTGAGTGCAGGCAGAAACATAGTACAATAGGTGGGCACTTGTCTTGCACATGGCTGACCCAGTTTGAATCCCTGAGTGCAGAGCCAGGAGTAAGTTCTGGGGGGGAGGGATTCAAATCCTGCATTTTCATGACCCCATTTTTATCCCTGGCACCACAGTTTTCCTCTGAATACTGCACCCCCAGGAGTCACTCTTGAGGAGAGAGAAAGGAATAGTCTCCCAGCACCACCAGTGTGGCCCAAAATACCCAATGAACTCAGCAAACCAAAAAAATAAGCACTCAACATGAATTGTAACATGGGAGCTGTTCTTAAAGCCAAGTAGAATATTTCCATCTATAAGTCTCCTAATAAGACAGGAAACTCACTTAATACTTATAAAAATAGTAGGTTTAGCATAAATTTAAACTCAAATACTTCTTACCCTTTCAATACTGTGCTGTAGACGTAGTTTCATCCTTACAACTTCCTGTTGTCGAAAAAGTTCTTTAAGTGGATCTGACAGTGAAGGTGGTGGTGTAATCTAATTAAAAAAAATGTATATACAGTTTCAAATACCAGGTTTCACTTACAACAATAAATGATTATTATAAAATTTTACCCTTTTAGTGCACTAGAAATTGAAGACCTAAATTCTAATGTTCTCTAAATGAAGTTAAGACAATAGCAACAACTGTACTACAGCCTTTCAACAAACAGATGTTTTAATTCTTTTTAATTATGTGCTAACCCACTTTACATGACAAAAAGGATTATGGCAGCTTCATCTCTAATTTGATAATGAAACAAAATTGTAGTTACTGCATCTTGGTAGATAGTAAAGGTTAAGAAAGTCCACTTTAACTAATGCATGTGTGCTACTGTTAACGACTGAAGAGATACTTGAGTATACTAGTAAACTGTCATCCTAAATATTCTTCCTCTACCTCTTAATGTATAATTAATTCCTGTCAGCAGAATTGGGGTCACGTTAGACATCCCAACCTGTTTTTCTCCATATTTCTTAAAAGATACAACATATTATGCTCCCTGACAATAGTGCCATAGGAATTATATAACAATGTACATGTAGGGCTCTTGACTTGGATCTAATCAAAACCTTGTATTTGTATGTAGTAAAGAGTTTATACTAGTTACCATATAGCAATAATACTGTATTATATATTTTTAAAATGACAGAAAATTTCAAATAAATTGTAAGGATTCAATTAGTCAGATTATTGTGGAAAATTCTGTAAGGCAAATAACTTACTAGGATTGTTTCTATGTATCTCTAATTGCAGAAATCTATCTTTGATTATTGTGTTCTGTAAACGGCTTTGAATAATTACTACAGAGTTGGATCCTACTGTTTTGATTTTGCAAAATACAGGCCTCCTTCAAGCAGCACAGAGGAAGACTATATATTCATGACACTGCCCTTTTGATGTCAAAGTTTGCTCAAGAGGGTTATGACTGGATTTTATCTAGAAGTTTAGGATAAATACAGAAGGGTCTGAAGAAATAGTACACAGGCTGGCTCTCTTGCCTTGCGTGTGACTAACTCAAGTTCGATCCCTGTCACCACATATGGTACCTGAGCACCACGAGAAGTGATCCCAGAGTACAGAGCCAGGAGTAAAACTTGAGTACCTCTGGTTTAGCCCTCAAACAAAAACAAACAACAGGAACAACAACAACAACTACAACAAAATATAGTAAAGAGAAGTTGTGAGAAGAAGAAATGGATAAAAACCCTAGAAGAGAGAATGAAACAATGACAGGGAGGAATCAAACAGTATGGATGAACATAACTAAAAGTAGTCTTCACTTTTTGGCACATAATACTTGAGAGAACAGTATTATACAAGAGTGATGATCCCCAAGGGAAAAGAAAAGCCTGTAGTCTACTCTGTAAGTTAACTTTTGGGCCACATCCAATGATTATTCAGAGGACTATTTGCCTATATCAGTGCTTCTGATCACTCCTGTTGGGACTTAGGGAACCATACCAGGGATCTAATCCAGGTTCAGTAAACAAAAAGCATGCACTCGGTCTTTTAATACGCTCTGCAGTCCCAACTTCTTAAATTTAATTGTTCAATGGCCACATCAGCTAGAGGAAAAGCATGCAGTGCCAGGAACTGAACTCAGCTCCCACCTAATACAATGCATCTGTTCTACCACATGAACCATATCCAAGGCCCTAAGTCAACTTCTTTTAAAGCATACTGCACAGAACACTCGGTTCACAAAGATGATTTGCAGGAAATGAATGGTTCCAAGAACAAATTTGGGAAACATTTCATGTTTCTTTTTGCGTTACATGAAAACTTAGTGATTCTGATCAGTCAATGATATACAAACTTATTTACTTCTTGTGTATTATGATACTGAACAGTCTTACAGGTTGCTGTGTATGGGGAGATGGGGAGAAAGTCATTGGTGGTATAAGACTGCAGTAAAGATAGCACTTTTTTTTTTCTTTTTGGGTCACACCCAGCGATACTCAAGGGTCACTCCTCGTAGTGCTCGGGGGACCAAATGGGATGCTGGGAATTGAACCTGGGCTGGCTGCGTGCAAGGCAAATGTACTACCCACTATGCTATCGCTCCAGCCCCAGAACATCCTTTTTATAAACTGGAGAAGAGGGGTGTGGAGAGATAGTGGAGGGGTTAAGGTGCTTGCCTTGCACACAGCTGACCCTAGGGAAAAAAAAGAAATAGGAGAAACAAGAAATAAGTCAAATTAGAGAAATGAGATCTAAAAGAAGCAGGTTTTACAAATAAATTTAGTACTGACATACTGAATCAAAATTTGTGTTGCAGATTTTATAGACAGCAATGGAGAAACCCAGTTGAGAAAAGAAAAAAGGCTGAGGAGAAATTTGAGAACTTCATTTGTTGAATGCTAAGCATAAAATAAGGGAAAAAAAGTTAAAAAAACCACCAAAGAAATATACAGAGAAGTCTTCCTGAGGAAACTTTCTCTCAGTTGTTTATCTCATTTACCTTTAAGTGAACTGTACTTGGAAATGATATCTTTTAATATCTGTGAGCTCCAGAAATCTTCAAGATTATAAAGATCTCCTAACTGCTTCTCAGGGGATGCTCTTTCTTTTCATCACCCACTTTTGGAATCCCTCTTTAGAGTTTCAATTTGTTAGCACCAGTGACCACAGACAAGTCCACTGTATCTTGTGACCTTTTCTCTCCCCTTGCTCATTTGGTTTTGGGATACACGATCTAGAGTTGTTAATATTTCTGTTTTTGGGGCCACACCTGGATGTGCTCAAAGCTTACTCCTGCTCTGTGCTCAAACATCACTCCTAGTGGGGTTCTGGGAACATATGGGGTGTCAGGGATAGAACCCAGGTCAGCCGTTTGCAATGCAAGCATCTTACTTGCTATACTATCTCCCTAGCCTCTTATGATCTGCAGTCTTTTTTTCTTTTTTTTCCTAGAAACGCAATAGCACTATGCTTAAATTATGAGAAAAAGAAATGTTGGAAGAGCAAATAACTGAAAAGGTTTTGTATATATTTTGTTTTTGAGCTCCACCCGGCTGTGCTCAGGGATCATTCCTGATGGGAGCAAGGGGGAAATAATGGGGTGCTATGAATCAAACCTGAGTGGGCTGTATGCAAGGCAAGTGCCTTATCTGATGTAGTATCTCTCCAGCCCCCATTTCAACACATTTTAATAGTTTTTTACAGCCAGATCATATAAACTTGACTTTGATTAAATGTCAATTAGCTGAATGATAGGCTTTTTTTTAAATAAACACTACATTGTGCTTTTCTCTATTTTAGTCATTCTCATTAAAACAACAACAACAATAGCAACAAACCACCCCCCTGCTGGCCCACATTCCTATTATTCCTATTCCAGAAATAATCCTCAGCTCTGCTCACAGTCCATCTTGAAGTATACGAATGAACTAAAATCCAATTTAATCCATCAAAGCTGACACTACATTATACTACATTATAATTCACATAGGCATCTATAACAACAGACTTCATCATATCCCTTTCCCTCCCCCCAGCAAGCTAAAAGGACGATATATTTAGAATTTACACTTAAACAGATTGTAAAAAATTCCAACTTAAATGTATTTTTTACAGTTTTACCTGTATTTAAAGATAATGATACAACATATTTCAGTCAAAATTTCTTTATCTTTTTTTGGGCTGGAGTGATAGCATAGCTGGTAGGGTATTTGCCTTGCACACGGCCAGCCTGAGTTTGATTCCCAGCATCCCATATGGTCCCCCCGAGCACCGGCAGGAGTAGTTCCTGAGTGCATGAGCCAGGAGTAACCCCTGTGCAATGCTAGGTGTGACCCAAAACAAGCAAAAAAAAAAAAAAAAAAAAAAAAAGCAAAAAATACCCTTTAGGGGAAAATAAGCTAATTTTCTATTTTTCAGTCATTATTTTGATGAAAGAATTTGAAGTAACATATCTATTAAAAACTACTCTTTTAAGTCTAATTATTACTGCTTATTACTAGAAAGAAGTAAAAATGTCTTGAACTATGCTATACAATAAGGTTATTCTATGGCTATTAAAGGCTTGCTGAAACATTTTAATTGAGATAAACCATAAACACCGAATTTCAAACACTTGGCAATTATAGCAACTGAGCTTGGCCAGTGTTTCTGTGTAAGGACCTGAAGACATGGTGCTGCTTCAATCCTGCAGCATGTCAGCCCGAGGGATCCCAGAGCCTCCAGGGCTGCACCAAGTGATGCTCATGGGACCATGTGGTGTCAGAGATTAAACCAGGGCTGGATGCATGCGAAATATTCACCCTAGCTTCAATAAGATCCCTCCAGTTCCTAGAAAGTTTCTTTTTACCCTTCTTTGGTTTTTTTGGCCACACCCAGTGGTACTCAGGGATCACTCCTCGAGAGGCTTGGGAGACCATATGGGGTGCCAGGGATAGAACCAAGTGCCTTACCTGCTGTACAAACTCTTTAGCACCTAAAAAAGTTCCTTATGTGACTAGTATTTCTATCAACACTGTGGCATACATATTATCTAGTCACATTACTTACTGTGGGAATGCAAATCTTGCTTAAGGGGTTTCCATCCAGGAGATATGATCCATTAAATGTCACATATTCATCATAATACTGAGGCGCTTGTGGAATAACACTACATAACAATTTTCGCTTTTCTTCTATCTTTTTTCTTATGTGCAAATATTCAAAATATGGATTTGCTCTCTCTGAACTGTATGGCTGAATCTCATCTAGTTTTAGAGAATCTACAATGGCTGCCAGAGACTGCTGAGTTTTCTCTTTTGCTTGTAACAAAGAGGGACTCACTTGCACAGGCTGAGGTACACGTGATACTTTCCTTTTTCGTGGGTGGTGAATCTGAGGATCGTCCTCTTCAGTTAGTCTTATTCTTCCCCTAGGTGAGGAAGATTCACTATCTTTTTCAGGTAGTATCGTACAGCTAGGAAGAATTTGTTTGCTTTGATTTGCTATTGTATTTGCTTTGTTTCTAGTCATCCTTTGAGGGGTCTGACTTTCATTTTTATCATCGTCACCATTTTCTTCTAGTTCTACTTTAACTAACTGACTGTATTTATGCATTTCAGGTTGTGCTGATTGCTGTGAATGGTTTTCCAGACTTGATAAAGTGCTTTGCTGAGACTCTTCATCTTCAACGGAAAGCAAACCCTTTTCACTTTCAGGACAATGTTTTGGAGGATCCAGTTCATGCAGGTTTCCTTTTGGTATCCCTACATTCATGTCACATAAATCAGAATCACACTTATCATTCAAATGAGTTAAAACCAAAGTCTCCATTTTGTTTTCCTTTTCATGTGAAATAACCTGAATATCAGAAGTGCTATTTTCGACCTCATGGTCACTGGAAGACTTAAATATTAGTTTGCTAAATACATAATGAGTATTAAGCTGGGAAGAGTTATCACTTCCATTAAAGTCCTTTTCTGACGGTAAGATAGGTAAAGCACCAGCCTTCTCAAAGTTTGGTGATGCATCTTGAGTGCTTTCAGAGTACATTGGAACAAAGGTATCTGTTTTCTGAACATCTGTTAAAACAAAAGCATTTTCTGTATCCTTTGTACCTTCATTATCAGTATCTAAAACAGAACTGATAATTTGAACTGCATTTTTCTGCTGTAAAATGCCTGGATCTTGATTGACAACGTAAGACATAGACATATGTTTAGAAATAGAGTCAGCATCTGAAAGTGATTGGCTGTGGAGAGAGTAAGGTTGTCGTGAAGGCAGAAAGGACACAGAATCCTGAACACAAGAGTTTCCTGGCAAGTCAGTCTGGTGCAGGGATAAAAAATCAGTGTTCTGCTCTTTCATTACTTTGTTTTCAGAATTACAAAAACCCTGAACAGAGGAATCTTGATCAAGAGTACTAGAATTGGGGCTTATATAATCATTGGTGCTTAATGGTTCCAAACTATCCACAGGTATCTCCCATGACTTATTTTGGATTACACCAACCTGGTTAGAGGGTTCTAAATGTACAGGACTGTCCATTAAAGTACCTACTGAAGCAGTACTCTTAATAACATTTGTATCAGCCAAAATATATTTGTTTACTGAGCTAGGTGGAGAGGCTGCAAAACTGGAATGTACATTAGATATACTTGAAAGTTCTCTTTCAGGCACATTTGGGGATATCTCAGGTTTGGGAGAAGGACAACTATCTCTTGGCACAGCTAAGCCACCCTGATTGCTTTCTTCTGAAAATGTTTGGAACTGTTTTGTATGTTCACAAATGACAGATGGCATGCTACATCGTCGGATCTCTACGGTAGGTCTCCCCTCACTTATAATTACTTTAACATCTTCAACAGAAGATGAGCGGAGATGGGATGTTGGAAGTTTGCTGGTGTAGGGTAGCTTAATTCGCTCTGGCAGTTCAGCCAGGTTATCCATATCCCTTTCATGAAGGGCAGGAGATTTGGCAACTGGCAAAAAAGGTGAGTGGGAAAAGGACATTTGGGAATCTGAGCCCTCTAACATAAAGTCAGAATCATACTCAACTAGAGGCCTTGGGGTTGTCATTGTAGTATGGCAGGAATCTTCTGAGCTAGCAACTGAAATCATGGATGCAGACCTTGAGCTGAGACCTGGCTTTTCAGCTTCTGATCTAGGAGATTTGTTTAAATTATTTTCTGAAACAAAAGATGACTTAACTAAATTGATATTTTTGTTGTCAACAGATTGTGATCTGTTACCTAGAGCATCTTTAGATGGCTTCTCCTTGGCATAAACATCAGTCAACTCTGAACTCCTTGACCTAGCAAGTTCCTTATTTTTGGACTCGGCTGGTGCATGTTTTGACTTTTCTTTATCTTTTACTTTAAGTTCTAAACAACTACGATTTTTCAACCGTTCCTTTTCTTTTTGCTTTATTTTTTCCTTATGCTTTTTATGCCACTGTTCTATTTCCAGGTCTTTAAGGCTTAGCATTCTTTCAAAACTTGTTTGCATTAAATCATCATTCACTAACCTCTTTTCTTTAGGTCGAGCATCTTTTGATGCTTTTGAGTCATCTTTTGATGACTTAAGTTTAGATTTATCTACTTCAGATTTTAGTTTGAGCAAATTATTTAGTGGGACTCTGTCCTTATGTTTGTCTCGCTCTTTGTATCTGTCTATATCTTTATCTTTTTTATCTTTTTCTTTTCCATCTGGGGTTCTCAAAGGTTCATCTTTTGTTTTATCTTTAAGGGATAACAATTTTTCATGTTGTGCTTTATTACTATCTGTCATGCTTGACCTCTTCTCTTCCTGAAAATGTCTAGAGTTATTTACACTGACATCTTTAGATTTCTCCTTTCTATCTACCTCCTTCTCTTTTTCTTTATTTTTGCTTTTTTCTATTTTAGTACAGTCACTATTATCTAATTGTTTAATTTTTTTTTCCATCAAATGCTTTTCTTTTTCAGGTTTTTCTTTGTCATGTTTTCTATCCATCTTTTCTCGAAGTCTCTCTCTATCATCAATCTTTTTGATAGCAGTAACATTTTTTATTCTCTCACTTTCCTTATGGCATTTTTCTGTATGATGTGAATATAGCTTATCCTTTTCTTTTATTCTATCAATACACTCATTATTCTCTGATTTATGTTCATGTTTTATCTTTTTCTCTTTTTCTGAATTTTTTCTTTCACTTTTCTCAATGTCCTTTTCTTTCATTTGATATCGTTTTTCAGATTTTTCCCTACTTTCTTTTGTATGCTTCTCTTGTTTTTCTATTTCTATTTCTTTTTCCATTGCATGTAACCCTACAGATTCTTCATTGACATTCATGCCTACAGAACTGAATTCTGTTTCTTTATCTATAGGTATAACCTCTCCTCTCTCTTCTTTCAAGTCTTTTATTTTTTCTTCCCTACAAGATTTTTCACTTTCCTTTTTAATCTTTTCTCGTTCTTCTTTAAAGTTCCTCTCTTTTGAGACATGCTTTTCCTTGAACGATTTATCATCTTTTAAGTTTTTCTCCAATTTAGATTTTTTTTCTAACATTAGGGACTCATGTTCAATATTTAAAAACAGGTCTTCAGTTTCATCACTTTTAAAAAAATTCTCTTTCCAAAATTCTCTATCAAATTCCACACTTCGCTGCAGCTCTTTAGTACCATCCCTGTTTTTGTATTTTTCCTTTTCACCATCAATTTCTTTTTTATGCTTTTCTTTTTCCCTTTCCTTATGCTTCAATTTATGCTTTTTTAATGTTTTACCTTCCTTATCCATTTTTTTCAGTGTGCAATCTGAATTTTCAAATGTTGGACTATGGTCTTCATCTTTTACTTTGGCATTTGCTTTTTCACCAAATTCCAAGTGAAAATCTTTCTGATGTTTGTTTTTTTCCTTATGCTTGCAAGATTTTACATTTGAACTTTCTGGCAAGAATTCAGATTCTGTGTTATCAAACCGAACAAGATCAGGCTGTAACGACATTTCAGAACTTCCTGGTGATAAACATGTTTTAGCATGTTCATGTTTTAGTGGTGTTGACTGTTTTTCACTTAGTCCACAAGAATGTTTTGGAGATTTACCAGTGGAAATATGAAATAAATGCAACGAAGTGTCATCTTTTGGGCTGTAAGATTTTCTAAAACTTGTCTCCTCTCTGGTCTTTTCTGAACAATCTAGTGGGGTATTAAGTGTCAAGTTTGTTACTCTAGTATTTTCTTTCCCCTCCTTTTCTTGCTTTAGCTCTTGATTCTCTTTATTTTTGTTCTGGTTCTTTAATTTTCTTTTAACTTTGCCCTTCTGTTTGTGTTCATTTGAAACTCCATATTCCTTTTTGCTTTGTATATCAGAATTTGATGTTTCAGGAACAGAGCATGGAGCAGGGACCTTTTTATTCTGTACAATTTCTTCATCTGAACTCTCAGAACTTGAATACAGAACCCTAGATGGTTTTTGTTTTTTACCTTTAAATGACTTAGCATAGAAAGTCTTTTCCTGTTTTGAAAATAAACTACTCTTTTCTATTTCAGATTCACTCTCTCTTCGTAGCTCTTTCCTAAGAATATGCCTATCATCAATCATTTTATTTATTTCTTCATCATCATCATCTTTGAACTCATACTCATCAAGGGCAGATGGAAGAGGTGCTTTACTGGGAAGTATCTGTTTACTTTCACAGATGAGAGAGTCCTTCTCTGTCTCAGAGTCAATATTTTCATCAACACTGGAAGGATTTAGAGACCGAGGTTCTTCAGAATCTACAGCAAGAAAAGAAAACCTGTTGTTAGTCAAAAACAATTACCAAAGATCGGACTGAGAGAAAAATGTGGCATAGCTAGTAAATATTTTGAGCAATTCAGAAAAAACTAAAAGACGTAGGAATAATACAGTAAAATATCTAGTGATTTTTCTACAGCATTATGGAAAAGTTTTAAAGAATATTTGGTTCTGAATAAAGTCTTCACACTTTTAAAGCACGCAGAGCAAAATGAATTCATAATACATATATCAAACATACACATAAATACACAGCATCTTTCTTCTCTGGAAGGAGAATAACTGTATTTAAGATCTTTGATAAAAAGTACTAACTCAAAGAATTTACATTAGTGATGATACAAATTGTTTTATATGTTTTAGTATGTTAATTAGGCAAATTGCAAGCTATGATACCCAGAGAGGACAGCAACTGAAACTAAGATAAGTAGTTTTGGTAACAGAAGAAATATGACTCTAGTAACTATGAAAAAATAATGCTCTAATTATATAATTAAGAATTAAGCTCATGTGGCCCTAACAAGCTAAACTGGGCCAGGTTGTGAGTGTCTGGGTTGCTTTGTGGCTGCAGTGGTATGTGGGGGAGGGAACCTTATGTGGTGCCAAGGATTAAACCAATGTCAGTCACAGCAAGGCAAGTGCCTTCACCTCTCTTCTCCCTACTGCAAAAAGCCCCAAACAGAATCCAGTTTTGTATATGAACTGAGTCATAAATGAAATAATGAAATTTGCTGCTATGTGGATGTATCTGCAGAGTATCATGCTGAGTTAGTCAGAAGAAGAGGGTTGACACAGAACGATCTCACTCATAGGTGGATACAAGGAAACAATAGGGAAATAAATGCTCCCAGGCAACAGAAAGTGAGTATGTCTTCAACAGAAAGCTTATCACAGGAAGGGAGGAAAAGGAAAGCAGGTATTTTGGTATGTGGTGCTAAAATGTTACATGTATGAAACTATACTAATAACAGTTTTATAAACCATGGTGTTTAATTAAAAAAATCAAGTAAAAGAAAATTTTTTAAAAAAAGACCATACATTATGACAGGAGGGGTTTATTGCAAGAAGGCAAGGATACTTCAACATATAAAAACCAATAAATATAATGTCACATCAACAGAAAGACAAAAACCATATGATCACATCAAAAGACAAAGACTTTTTTTTGTAAGTTCAGAATCTAATTAAAAGGCTTAGTAAATTGAGGACAGAGGGAACATACCTCGACATAATAAAGGTTTGTCATTTATGATAATCTCAGAGCCAAGTATCATAGTTAACGTGACTATTCCTAAGTATAAGGCAAGGCTATTCACTCTCAACACTATTATTCAATACAGTATTTAAAACTATAAACAGAGAAATTAGGCAAGAAGTGAAAATGGACTGAAAAAGAAGTTATCAATATTTGTAGATGACATGACATTGCCTATTGAAAAAAATTCTAGGGACTCATGTGATAATCTGCTAGAAACAATGAGCCATATGGTACAGCGTAATCTACAATATATACAGAAATACACTGCTTTTAGAGTTTGAAAATAACAAATGGTCAAAGTTATTAGAAATGGAGATTTTGGTCTATTGAACTGAGCTGACATGGGAGAGGAGATGAGATGGATTCTTTGGACATTGGTGAAGGGACCTGGGATCTCTGATGATGGGTGTAGTATTGGACTGACATGTGCATGGAAAGTACAATAAACAGTAAACTGCAGTCCCTTAATAAAAACCACAAAAAGAAATTTGAGAAAAGCCACAATATTTGGTAACAAAAATTGCCATACTGTCAAAAGTCCCAACACTTGGGAACTGAACAACAAATATGTCATGCTGGTTAGAGAGGAAATTAAATAAGAAATTAAAAGATTCCTTGACATTAATAAGAATAAAGACACAAATTCCGAGAAACTATGGGACACAGCTGGAGCAGTAAGAAGTACACATCAGAAAACAGAAAAAATGAAAAAAGGTGCTAGGGATGTAACTCAATGAAAGGGCACTTCCCTTGCACTTGTGAGGCCTTCTCAAGCCCTAGCACCAACTCACCTCCAAACACATAAAAAAAAAAAGAATAAAAGAAAAAAAAGCTCAAATACATAATCCTACAACTTGAGAAACTAGAAAAAGTACAACAAATGAATTCCAAAGTAGAAGGAAATAAAGGAGAGCAAGAACCAAATACATACAAATTAAGAAACCAATACAACGGATAAACTGAAAAAAGCTTTTAGCTATATTCATAAAGGAAAAAAGGAAGAGCAAACCCAATTAAATAAGATTACGCATGACAGGAGAAAAATTATAATTGCGGGGCTGGAGTGATAGCGCAGTGGGTAGGGTGTTTGCCTTGCATGTGGCTGACCTGGTTTCAATCCTCGGCATCCCATATTATCCCCCGAACATTGCCAGGAGTAATTCCTGAGTGCAGAGCCAGGAGTAACCTCTGAGCATCGCTGGGTGTGACCCAGAAAGAAAAAAATAAACAAAAAAAACCCCCCCAAAATTATAATCACTACCTCATAGGTATAATGAACTTTAAGAAGCTTCTATGAACTGCTGAACCTAGAAGAAATGAATTCTTTTTTTTTTTTTTCCTTTTTGGGTCACACCTGGCGATGCACAGGGGTTATTCCTGGCTCATGAACTCAGGATTTACTCCTGGCGGTGCTCAGGGGACCATACGGGATGCTGGGAATCGAACCCGGGTTGGCTGCGTACAAGGCAAACACCCTACCTGCTGTGCTATCGCTCCAGCCCCAATAAATGAATTCTTAGTATCATAAAATTTCCCAAGATTGAGTAAGAAAGTAGAAAACCTGAGCAGATTCATCAAACGTAAAAAAATTAAAGCAATAAAAAAATTTTCCTGAGAATAAAAGCCTAAAACCAGGTAGGTACACTAGTGAGTTCTACCAATCCTTCAAAGAAGACTTACTCCTCAAGCTCTTCAAAATATTGAAGTAGTTATTCTTCCTAAGAGCATCTAGAAGCCAACTGGTACCAAAAAGCAGACCATAATATTACAGAAAAAAAATTACAGACCATATAGATCTGATGACAGTGAATGTAGAGTTCCTCAATAAAATCTGAGTGACCTAAAACCAACAATTTATCAAAAATATCATACACCATGATCAAGTAGGATTAATCCCAAAGATGCAAGGATGGTTCAAAAACAGAAATTCATGTAATGCACATATCAACAAAAGGGAAGATAAAATAGAGGTAAAAGAGCAGTTTTGACAAGATTCAATATTTATGAGAAAAACTCTTAACAAAATAGAGACAGAAGGGACGTACCTCAAAATAGTAATGGCCATAAACAACCAACCCACAGTTATCATTATACTTGAGAGCAAAAATGATGAATGCTTCCCTCTCAGGTACAAGGTAAGAAGGTCCTCTTCCCCACTACTATTCAATATGGTTTTGGAAGTCCTCACCACAGATATCAGGTAAGAAGGAGGTATCCAAATTGAAAAGCAAGAAATTAAGTATCGCCACGTGCAGATCACATAATAATATACACAGGAGACTACAGAGATTTCATTAACACTCCAAAGGGAAATAAACTAAAACAGCAAACAGTAGACTACACAATCACACAAAAATCTGTTGGACCGTCCTATCCAAAGTATTATATAGACTCAAAGCAAACCCTACCAAAATTCTCAAGACATTCTGCAAGAATTTAAAACAAACTCTAGAAAAATTTGTATAGAATCACCCGCCCCCCCATGAACAGCCGAAGAAATCCTGGAGAAAAAAAAAGATGGTTGTTATTTCATTTCCCGATTTTAAAAACTATGTGGTGACCAGCAACACATTATGGTCCCGTAGCACTGCCAGGAGTAAACCTGAGCACCACTGGATCCTTATCTTGAACCATACGCAAAAGGTAATTTAAAGTAAGAATTTCATATGACACAGTGATTCCACTTTGCATCTCTCCTCAGAACATTATTAACTCGAGGGGCCTCTAGAGAGATAGTACAGGTGTAAAATACTTTTCTTATACTTTTTTGATTCCTGAGCACAGAGTCAAAAATACTGAGCACCACTTGTATGTGGTCCCTAAACAAACAAAGCCCCTCCTTCAACAAAATAAAAAACATTAACTTGGAAAGATACATATGCACCTAATGTTCAGAGAGGCACCAAGAGCCAGGATATGGAGACAAGCCAAATGTCCAACAACAGATGAAGGGATAAAGAAGTTGTAGTATATAACTCTGTGGCTTTAAGAAAAGATGAACTGCAGCACTGTAGCACTGTCCCCCATTGTTCATCCATATGCTTGAGCGGGCCCTGTAATGTCACCATTGTGAGACTTGTTGTTACTGTGTTTGGCATACTGAATACGTCAAGGGTAGCTTGCCAGGTTTTGCCGTGTGGGCGAGATACTCTCGGTAGCTTCCCGGGCTCTCTGAGAGGGGCGGAGGAATTGAACCCAGCTCAGCCAGGCCGGCCACTTGCAAGGCAAATACCTTACCGCTGTGCTATTGCTCCAGCCTGATAAGAAAAGATGAACTACTGCAATTTATTGCAATTTGGATGAAATGGAGGGTATCATCCTAAGTGAAATAAAAAGAAGATCAAATACTTAATGGTTTCACTTATTTTGGTATTCAGAGAAACAAAACCAGAGAATAGTCAATGATAACAAACTCTTAATCATGGATTATTAAACTGAGATTAGCAAGGGAAGGTGAAAAGCGATGGACTAGAGAAATGATCTAAGGATAGTGGCAAAGATTTGTCTTGTGTACTTTGACAGTGGTGAAGGGGCACTAACTTTAAACATTAAAACTATTGTAACCATGTTAGAGTTAAAAAAGAAAAGAACTTATTCCAAGTATATAGAAATACTGTTTGCAAACTCTTCTATAAATACAGTCAAACCTCTGCTAGAGTTTATTTAATTTTATGTTGGAGCGATAGCACAGCGGTAGGGCGTTCGCCTTACAAGCGGCCAACA